GTTTTGTTGGCACGCATATGTCTATCGCGCATTTGTCGGCGCGCATTTGTCAGCACCCTATTGTCCAAAATCAATTAGTGATTTTGATAGCGCTCATTTGTCCATCACAGTTTTGTTGGCACGCATATGTCTATCGCGCATTTGTCGGCGCGCATTTGTCGGCACCCTATTGTCCAAAATCAATTAGTGATTTTGATAGCGCTCATTTGTCCATCACAGTTTTGTTGGCACGCATATGTCTATCGCGCATTTGTCGGCGCGCATTTGTCGGCACCCTATTGTCCAAAATCAATTAGTGATTTTGATAGCGCTCATTTGTCCATCACAGTTTTGTTGGCACGCATATGTCTATCGCGCATTTGTCGGTGAACCACTTTTATGTTCAATAAGGCATCATGCATGTGAAGGAAGAAATTATATCAAGATTTGAATATTGAAAAGAATCAGAGTTTCTAAACATGATCAATTTTCCTAATCACATACTCACTGTAATTTCCTGTTCATAGGTCCAAACACCACAGGCCAGTTCAATGCAGAATATCACGAGCAAACTTCCAAAATACTGCAGAACAAAAAAAAAAGCATCCAATTTTTAAATTATTTTAAACCAAAGCCAGTCTCAGAAGGGTGTCTTCCAGCCATACAATCCCAAAAGGAAAGAAATGTGTAGCTCCTTTAAACTAAAGCACAAAGTGGCTAAATCAGCAAGCATGATTTTGAGTATTTTAACAACCTAAAACAGTAATCTAAATTTTGGGCTGCATTATTGAGCAAAACTAGTTGGGTTTTAATTTCCTGAATGTCCTTTTTTGTTGTGGTTGTAGAAAACTGGCCTTGTCTACATTTAGAAGCTAAGAAGGGTTAGCCTTGGCTAAGCCATGAATGAGAGATTTCCACAGAAGAGGAGCTGGAGATTAGACTGCAATTTCTTTTTTTAACTTGAACAAAAGAAACAACCAGACAATTTTGAAAGGGGAAGACTGCATGAGAGTGGTCCTTATAGTCAACAAGAGTGGAGTCTGTCTCAAAAGTATATTGATTCTTTACTTTAATAGCAGCCTAATGAAAAAATGGAGGAGGGGAAGTGGAATAGCACTAAGGAAATATGTACTAGAGATGGAGTGCAATGATTCCAATGAAAATTCTTTCTAAGTCCACTTATTTATTAATTTTTCACATTTCTGAATTGCCCATCTCTTTCAGAGATGGACTCTGGGCAATGTACAATTAAATGTCAGCATACAAAAACTATATATAAAAATTAAAATGTTAGAATTAAAATTTCAAAATAAAGCAATTTTAAAATGGAGGCAATAATAATTAAGCCCTGTTAAAAAAAACAATTGAAAAGGCGAAGAAGGGAGGGCACCAGCCCAGTCCATGGCTATGTGCTCCTTAGCTCCCTAGGCGAAGCCACAAAGCCATGTTTCTTCACATTTTCCTCCAACTCAGTGTTTCTTAACCTTGGCAACTTTTAAGATATGTGTACTTCAATTCTCAGAATTTCCTAACCAGCTACGCAAATAGCAGGTCTGGGGGTAGCCTCACAACCATTTTGGCCCTGGCAAATCTAATCCTGTTATCAACCACATTACAAGACTGCTGTTTATCAGCAACCATCCAATTTGTCCATTTCTAGTTTGGCTTCAGACTGGACAAATGAAAATAGTCAAAAAGCTACTTCAAGCCCCTGAAATTTTGCAAGCAAACAAATAAATTTTGCAGAACGTGAAAAGATAATCATGCAGTAACAATTCTAACTAAGATAATCTTGATTTCTAAAATGTAAGATGATATCCATAAAAATTAGAGACTTCATTCCATGTGTATAACGGACGCATCAAAGAATTATCCTATGTCTCATACAACATGGGAAAAATGAATTTATTTATTTATTTAGCAAAAAAAATTCGCTATTCAGGTGACTCTGATCAGCTTCAAAATTACATCAAGCTCCAGATGTTACTTGCACAAGGCCATGTAAAAGCACAAATACTGCTAGTATTTGTGGTATACAGTTTATACCACTCATTTCAACCTGGCAATATGGCTCAAGGGATTATGTTTTTTTCTCCCACGGATCCTTGTAGAAATCCTTGAATTTCTAACACAGACAAGTAAAATTGGCTGGTCTGTTGAATTACTCTGAAATTAAGTCCAGTGAAATTAACGAACAGAGGTGAACTCAATGATGCAAAAAATCAGCTCTTCTGCTAAATTAATCAAGCTGCAAAGATGTTTATGGAACTGTAGCAACACTTGTCACCAAGAAGGTAATTGCAATGAATAAAGTTGAACGAGAACTTGGCAGGAAGTGGTAGTATTGCTTTAGATAGTATGTGTAACGACCTGCCTCAGTTAACTTCTCAAGAAAGCATGGCTCTTGAAATGGTAGCAGTTCAAAAGGAAACCTTACTGAGAGAAAGTGGTTGCAGAGAAGTCAGGTGGAATCTGAAAAGCCTGCGCAAAAAACATCAAACTACTTTTTCCTCTTCAAACTCCACCCAATCCCCTAGGTGTGTTGAGAAACTCCGAGACATTAACTTGATAATAGTTCACTCTCAGGGCACTGTGACCTTGGGTAAGCTGGCTCAGGCTGGGAAGAAACCCATCCTTCCAGCCCCTCCCTAAATCTTAAGAGCCGAGGTGGCGCAGTGGTTAAATGCAGCACTGCAGGCTACTTCAGCTGACTGCAGTTCTGCAGTTCGGCTGTTCAAATCTCACTGGCTCAGGGTTGACTTAGCCTTCCATCCTTCCGAGGTGGGTAAAATGAGGACCCGGATTATTGTTGGGGGCAATATGCTGACTCTGTAAACCGCTTAGAGAGGGCTGAAAGCCCTATGAAGCGGTATATAAGTCTAAGTGCTATTGCTATTGCTATCTCCCACGTTACAGCAAAGCAAAAGCATGCAAAGAATACCTACCCCTACCCCACCCCCCAGTAATGGCAGTATCCCATTGGGGACCTGATACCATTACTATGTAAACTGCATCAATGGGATAAAGTGCAAAGTGAAAAGAATGATGCAATTAGCAGCTCAACTGCTGTATACTATACTCAAAAGTACACATTCCTTCTTCTAGTAATCTTATGCTAGTGTGATAGTCAGTATTATTATTCATATCACAGAGAGTGGTTTATTTAAGGCCATCTTGTGAGTTAATGAGATTGAACCAAGAGGCCTGTGTCTTACAATACCAAATTGTCATTATACTGTCTCAACTTTTTAAAAGTCAGCCTAAGCTATGTGATGATTAGGTCAAGTTCCAGGATAGACATAAGAAATTATTTCTGTTAGCTTCCAACTGAAGGGAAATTGAGCTGAAAAACTTCAATACTACATATTCTTTAAGTTTCTTATTTTTAAGTCCAAACTCCAGAAGACATACATAGAATTTTAGAGAGGTATACTGCCCTCTACCCCCACTAATTAACAATAGAAGGAAGACTACAATAACAAAGACCAAATTCTAACAGAAAGAGCCTTAACTTGCATAAAATCTTGAGTGCACTAGAAGCAAGCTCCAGTAAATATAGGTATTCCTCAACTTATGGCAATTGAGCCCAAAATTTCTGCTGCTAAGTGAGACATTAGTTAAGTGAGTTTTGCCCCATTTTATGACCTTTCTTGCCACAATTGTTAAGTGAACTACTGCAATTGTTAAGTTAGTAACATGATTATTAGTTGAATCTGGCTTCCCCATTGACTTTACGTGGCATACCACAACATTCCAGGACACTGCAACCATCATAAATTCATGCCAGGTGGCAAATATCTGAATTTTGATCACATGGCCATTGAGATACCCAATGGTTGTAAGTATGAAAAATGATCATAAGTCACTTTTTTCAGTTGCTGTTGTATCTTTGAATAGTCATTAAACAAACTGTTGTAAGTCAGGGACTACCTGTATTATTTAATGAATTTTGAACAGCAAGTTCAAGTAAATATATTGTAGTGGTTTAAAGGGCATGTAAACTATTTGATGACTATGGACTGATCGGTTTTCCTGATTTCCATGGTGTAAAAATGCCCTACAATCAATGCTGGGATTCAAATAATTTAACAACCGGTTCTTTGCCCTAATGATTTCTTCCAAAAACCAGTTCACCAAACTGCTCAGAAAGTTAAAAACCGGTTCTCCTGAAGTGGGGCAAACTGGCTGAATCCCACCACTGCCTAAAACCATTTAGCATCTTCAATCCATCCCTAACCCACCACCATCAGCATCTTCTTGTTCCAATTCAAAAGCAGTGCCTTTCAGCTTCCTCTCACCTGATACCCTCTGAAGTGCATCAACCCAAAATGATTGTATCAAGCTGCTGTGGGCAACCTAAGATGATTCCTGGTCACTGGATTTTAAGACCATCTTTCTTTTGGCAGTGACAGAGTCAGGGCTTTCCCACAGTGATAAAAAGCCCTCTCTTTCTCACCATACTTGCCAACCCATGGCTAGCAGCAGTAGTGGGGAATGAAGAATGAGAAGGTCTTTGGGGCACCAGTTCTCATGGCACCAAAATGACCTGCTTCCCCAGTGTTGAAAAGCCAATTTTCCCACTTCCATTCCCACAAGGCTTGACTTGCTCTTCAGTCCACATTTGCCCATCCTTCCATCTTAGAACTGCTTTTGTATACAAATATCTAGGAGTCTTCTGGAATACAGGTCTATGGTAGGGCTGCTGGCTACAGATCCAGTTCCACACCATTTCCCTTGTTAAGAGGAAGGAATAGGGGTCAGCTGCTTTGGTTCCACAACTCCAAATCCAATTCCATGTGTTCTCCATCAGAGAAAGTATTGGAAAAGATCCCTGGATCTTCTGCTGCCACTTATTGGAACCCTAGGAAACATTCTTAACCCCACTTTCCTCCTTCTTCCATCTCTTATGACAAGAGAATTGCCAAGAGATAATGTGGTTTGACAGTGTAATCAGCACTTCTTAAGGTCGGGGCTGTTCTGGATGACACTACTTTACTGTTGCTTTGGGGAAAAGCCACGTTAAGACAGCTTTGGCTGCAGGTCCTCAGAGTAAGGCACTATAGGAACCAGACTGGCTGCCAAAGAAAAGAAACCATATGGTGACGTTGGCAAGGAAAACATAGGCATTTGGGAACGGTTTTTTTTTTCAATGCTACTTTGATCAGTTGGGTAAAACTGCCTTTGTTTATATTTTCTCTCCTATTTCCTGATTTAATAGTGATTACATTTTTTTTGTATATTCATCTATTCCTACTATAGCTTAATTCTACCTTAGTATACAAGTATGCTTATTAAAATAAGTTATAGGGAGGTGCTATGGAGTATTGGAAGATGGGCATGTACCATAAGCAGGTACTAAAGAGAGGGGAGCTGGGTGTGTGTGAATTGCAGAGTCATGGATGGGTGCTGAGATCAGGAGCTAAGGAATGCAAGAAAATGCGCAGGTATCATGGGAGAACAGGCACTACTGAGCAGGATCCCATGGGGGACGGCCAAGTGCAGATAGGCACTAGAGGCCAAGGACTGATGAAAAAATATTAGAGTAGGAGCAACTTCCAACTTCCTGTCGGCTTCTCCACTGAC